CAAGGTTTGCGAGCATAAATTATCGCCTGTAACCATATCAATTTCGATATAGTTATGAGCGATAATTTATGTTCAAAACCTTGCCATCCATTTATTATTATTGCATCACTGTATGATACTGGAAATAAACTTATATAACATGGAATTACATTCTACCACAGTGTCCAAGTTCTACATTTATATTAATCTCCATAGAAGTCGTTCAGCCATACTTCAAAGCAGCTTAAGACTAGGACAAGACATTTTTAATTTAAAGATGAATCGTGAGCTGGTCTCAGTTAGAGAACCGGGAATTACTAGAGAGTTATGTAGTCCTTGTTTGCCGCTTTTCAGCACTAAGCACCCATGACCTTACCGCGAATCGAACCTAGGTCAAATACTTTCTGGCTGATGGTGGGAACTAATCTGAGGTATGAATTATCTCTCAGAGTGAATTTCAGAAATTAAGTATCTGAACAAAATTGATGGACACAACCGAAAAACATTTGGCGGTGACAATAAATCCTCTTATCTCAGAAAATTCTGTTGTGAATTTTCATGTGAACCGATACTATTTTTGGTTACAAGAACGCATTTTGATGGTGGGAATTAAATGTAATAAGACCAGCTACATTGGCAGTTAAACCAGACATCAGGCTATTGCTTCTATGAATTCTCGAAAACATTCGGATTTTTAATTTAAGTTAGGGATAGACAGAATTCTTAAATGGTCTTGTCAATAAGGCTTGCTTAGTCGACTGCATTTGTTAAAGTTCACTGCTGATGTAGTCATTTCAATTCAGAGACAAGGCTATGCAGTGCTTAGGTCACCTAATTTAAAGATGGAAACTTACAATTCAGAAATTGTAGTATCTAATTATTCATAATAGTTTGAATTGTGTAGTTTTGTTAAAGCTGTAAACAGTTACGCTTTACATGATTATTGTCTTCAAAAGAACTTATTTTCCAAAAGGAAGCCTTACTGCTGATACACAGCCTTAGATAATTCTTACAAAGAAGAAGAATAGAACCGGATTGTATACTCAAGTTAAGCGTTTTTCTGTGAAGTAGCATTAAAGTAGATAAGTAGTTCAAAGTTGTGGGTTTCGTTAGCGAAGTTATCAGTTATGATCACTGGTTAGTCTTTTCTTTAATCACCTTCTCCATAGAATAATGTTCCAGTAAAAAGTGAACACATACTTAACTTTTAGAAGACACTAGTGAAATTTATGATCAGATAAAGACTACCGGACCCGCTAAAATGAACATATCTCACTGCAGTATAGCAAAAATGTTTAAGGTGTCAACAAAAGCTTTTTAGGTTTCTATAAGTTTAAGTTGTTATACACCATGCAGTCTGAACTAGAGAGAAAGGAGACTCCTAAATGAAACGCTCACAATGAATATATAATAATGTAATCGCTTCTTCCACACATCGGAACTTACACCAACCAGAACACTCATGTTCTCTTTAATCTGAAGACAACAGGCACTTTAAAATAGATTGCACCATCGGGAAATCAGCCATCTAGTGAATTACTTTATTAATCAGAGTGATCAAAGAAAGGAATAGTTAATGAATCTACTGATCATTATACTGGATTTAATAGCTTATATTCTAAGACTTGACCACTTTGCCATTCATGAGAAGGGCTGTGTAGGCTGATTTTGTTTCTGTACAGTTCCAAACAGAATATAAAAGTGAAAAAACAAAATCCGTCAATTGCAGTGAAAACTCATCATGATGAGTTTCAGTTGGTAATATTAAGTGCTGTTGAAAATGTGATATTCAAAAGGGATTCAGGAGTTAACATCTACAAAGGTGGGACCTAAATAACAAAGTTTAAAATATTACTTATTTTGAATAAGGTAAACCTTAAAAACCAGTTTGATAAGACTTTTTGACAGCTATAAGAAACACATCTTAATGACGCTCATAAAAATAATGATAGTAATAATGGCTAATCATGTTTAACGTTTATAACTGATGGCAAGACACTGGAATTGTATTTTCTGTGAATACATCCGCTTGCTTTTCTGTATACCTATTTGAAGGGTTGATCAGTTTCAGCTCCACGATTTTTCCATATGTTATCATTTGAAGTATCTCAAGAGACTATAGCTCAGTAGACTCATAGTTGTTGCTGTTTTCCAATTCTGATTCGAACCTAAAGCTCATAGTCTGTTATCCAAGTAAAAACTAATACTGGTTGAGCAAGACACAATTGCCAGAGCTCATTAGACAAGTGGATAATGCTCTGATGTTTTAAATAATAAACACTGTGCTCAAGTCTCAATCCCACTGCTTACTAGAATGCCGATATGTCCCCCGAAGGAATAAAAACGCGTACTGGATACAATTGCTAGTCATTGTCAACCGAATAAATAAAGCATTTAGACCTGAGTTATAAATATGCTTACGTATAATTCATCAGAAAGAGTATTTTCAAGTTCACTTGATCTCTTTCATGGTGTTTACTAAAGTAAACTGAATACTGCATTTCCAAATTATTTCTTTATTTATTTCAACCTACGTAATAAAACTTCAATAAATAATTATAAAACCTTTTAGGTAATCATAAATCACTAAGCAAACTTAAATCCAACCCAAAGAACAATGAAAGCTGAAACACTCTTCAAGATTTTAAAACCCCCTAATTTGTCTGAATTGACTTCCTCGAAATGACCTAACATTCGGTCCTTGCATAATTTCATAATAGTATGCAGATGATATATGGATACAAAAATATTAAGATAATCATTAATGTTTGCATCGTGACACCGAGATTGTTCTGTGGATAGTGTACATTTGTGTCTCGTTTCACGAAGGAAAATGTGGTATACTACAGTGGAAGTGTTATCATAGGTGAATCTGGAGTGTTATGATTTCGTAGCTATCATAAACGAAATATTCGATGTTTGCATCAATTTGACTAGCACTTCAATAAATTAATCCAGTTTTAAATAAGGCAGTAAATATCCAGACCACAAACTTTACGATTTTCCAGTAATAATTAAAGTGCCAAATCAGAATGAGTCAGTAGAAAATTACTCAAACACTGTGGGATTATTGCAATTAATTTTATAGAGAATCAGTCTGACTCAACACCCAAATTGTTCCTGGAAATTCGCGACATCTATGGTCTGGATATTTGTCATCTTACCATAACTTCTTTTTCACTTATTGACACATGTAATTTGACTAGTAATATTAAGGAAAACTGATGCTTACGGCAGTGTTAAAGGGAAACTGTAAATGACACATTGTTCGTGTGTTGGTCATGACTTCCATTCACTCTTTAGGTTGTTCTTAATTTTCATGCAGATTTGAGGAAAAGTAAAAAAAATGTTATTAAACACCAAGTGATGATTGAATTTTCATTCTTCTCGACTCCTGGATATTGCTCGTTCAAATTAACTTCATGTTTAAAAAGTGATGTTTGCAGAATATTTCAATCGATTCGGTTGCTAACCGATAAGAACCGATCTTCTTAGATGCAGGCTAAAATTTGTATTCTGTGGTAGAATTCGCACTTTAACACAATAGGTTGAGGGAATTAAATAAAAGCCTTGATACGAGATCAGCTATAAATTGCTGTCGGAACGTAATCAGTTGATAATACTGGATCACATAAACGTACTCTCTGATTGCTAAGGTATTAACAGGTCCAACTCTGAGACGTATTTAAGTTGGTTCTCATCTACTCATTATTGTTGACTTGAAATCATTAGACGATTAGATGCACTTATACCTGCTGTTTTGTTTTGCTCAGTGCTTTTCTAATTATGATGCAGTTGAGAATTGTGTGTAAACTTTAGTCACCATACTACTAAATCATTATCTGTCCATTCAAATAGAGCTATTTACAAGGGATGTTTCGCTCATTCAAAGAAATTTTCGATTTAAACTGTATCTATGCACTGTATTTCCAGTGAATGATCTAGAATATGAACAGGCAACAATTAAAGCACATCAGTTATATATAGTGTTTGTTCAGGTTGTAGGCAAATCGAAGAATTCCAAGAGAATAAAAAATTATTATTGTTGACATTACTTCATTCAAGTTTATTAAACCAGGTAAAAGTATGAAGGAAATGGAGGCATTAAAGTTTTGGGAAAATGTGTGTAACATCAGAGATGCAAGAAAGAATATTCACATTATCTGGTTCATTGTGTCAATGAAATGAAAGGATGTGAACACGCGACCTCATTTCTGCTCAGTTGTTGAACCAGTCTGTCAGGTGGAATCACAATGTGTTTGGCGAATTAGGAGAAGTGTGACTGGGATACCAGATAACAGCTGTGCAACTCATAAAAAATACCACAATTCATTTGGTATGTTTTAGGAAGTATTGAGACTTGATACTAGAGCATCCTAACCCGTTTACTTTTATCTGCAGAAAAAATAATAATCATGTCTTTATTCTAAACCCTGGTTAGTTGACTGCAGCTTGCAGTAGAACGTTTCTCAACCATACCATCGACTGATTTACATGAATTTGATTGCTTTCAAGGCGGATTTCAAAGCAAACCGACATCAGATAGAGAACTATTGATAAGTGTGCAGTGCTTAGCATCTATTTCACCCTAGTTTAGACTCTTTAGACACACGCGTGGCCCTACGAGAGACTGAGCCCAGGAACCCCAGTTTGTGGGGTGAACTGGTTGACCATTCAGCCACCGAAATGAGATCTAGCGACGCGTGAATTCCAAATTATGTTAGCTCAGGATTATACTATAAGTAGTTATTCAAGGTTCTCATGTACGATATTTGTCTTCTAACTTTTTTACAAATTCCATTGTGGGGTACTTATTCGAAATAACAATTATTTCTTACTCTAGAAATGGAGAAATATATTTGATAAAGACAATACTGGTCAAATAACATTCCTTCATTTTTGTGAAGTCCTTGGCGTTAGCAAGAAAAAGAGGAAGTAAGCGAAATAATTATTGCAATTGCTTAATAATAATAATAATCACTTTATTCCACAACAATAAAAATTTACAGCATGGAATTTTCAGCGTTTCTTTTACATATTGCAATGGTTTAGCTCTGTTTATAATTATATAAATGTATAAAATGTTAAAATATTGATAGTTAATAGGAAAAAAAACAAAAAAAAATAATAATAAAAAAAACCCCAACAAAATCACACCATTCTAGGTCATAGTGAATAATAAATAAATATTATAAAGAATAACACATGCATAATAATATGCATCATTACATTTTATAGTTTAGTTATTGATTCAAAAGTTGTAAAAGTTCTTTTCTGATATTTGTCTCTTCACACAATACTCGTGCCAAATATGGAACGGTCGAATTTTTATATTTTGTAGTACGAGCATAAATGTTTATAAAATTTCTTCTGGTCTTACCCGAAGAGATACAAGGAAACAATTGTGAATAAAGAGGATGTTCACTATCAGATAAGATAACTTTAGCTAAGTGTTTACAAGAATTCATATGCCTATTGACAACAGTGTCATTTAGTTGAGTCAAAGGGATAGCACTGACCCTACTTACAGCCCTCAATGTTCTTCGTAGTATTATATGGTCTTTCTTGAGTAGCCCAGGGAAGAATAATGGAGAACAATAAAGAATGATGGGCAAAACACATGAATTAATAAATTGTATGATAAGAGATTGAGTTATACCTGAGTGTCTCAACTTCTTTATGTAATAAGTCAGACGGAAAACTTTCTTAGAAACTATAAGAATATGAGACGACCAGCAAAGGTTTGAAGAGAAACTAATGCCAAGATAAGAAACACTTGACTTACTCTCTATCATGGTACCATCAATATTACAACAATCATGAGATTGAATCAATCCATGCATGTCTTTTTCACTTCTCAAGCTGAAATCAACAGTGTTACATTTAGTTGGATTTAGTTTAAGACCATTTGAGCCAGACCAATCCTTAACTTCAGCTAAGAAGCCATTCATATGGGAACAATCCGATGTGGAAACTACAGGGACAGAAACGGTCAGATCATCGGCATACTTAATGAAGTTAACTTTGGGTGAGTTCGGAAGGTCATGCAAAAAGAAAGAGAAAAGAAATGGAGAAAGTACTGCACCTTGAGGCACACCACTTTCAGTTAGCTGAGAAGTGGAGCGCTTTCCAGCCAAAACAGTATGCTGTTTCCTATCCTTAAAATAAGAAGACAGCCATCTAGTTGCCCAGGACTCTGTTTGAGCTGAAATCATCTTTCCTAATAAAAGTGTCCTAGGAACAGAGTCGAAAGCTGCAGTATAGTCTAAAAAAGCTGTTCGAACGAACTTAGCGCCCTTATCAAGGCAGGAAACAATATTGTGGTGTAGTACAATGGCTGCATCTAATGTACTTCTTCCACACTTATAAGCAAACTGCTTAGGGTCTCTCTAAAAAATATTTTCTTAATTTTCGGTAGTTGGATATCGGGAAGCTTAAAATGTTTATAATACGTGTGTTTTTAAAAATACATTTTCCAGAAGTTTGTAGCTCAATCGCGATGTTCATTTTTTCCGTTAATTAGCTGGTGATTAGAAAACTTGAAGTGTAAGATAAGTTTGTTACAGATTCTATTTAGGCAACCAGTTATTTGATTTAACTGACACTGAGTAATACAAACTTGAGTCCTTACACATATACTTCTAGAACATAGCTGAAGTATTTGTTAGGATAAAATGTTTGTGGTTTCATAAGACCTACGCTGTAACTACTGGCTATATTTTAGTCCAGTGTACTTCGGTTTTTAACAAATTTCTACGTAGTGTTGTTTAAAAATACGGTCGATTAGATTACTACAAAACTAATGTATGAAGTTCAATCTACCATTTACCAGTGATAGTTTGCAGATGGACTTTCAAGGTAATAATGAAAATTAGTATCAGTTAGTGTGCACCAAATCAAGCGTAACAATAAGTACAGATTTTTTCCTCATAGTTTTTTATGTTTTTCTGAAACATGAAGCACTACAAAAGGGTGAAAATGTAAGTGTATTCATATAGTAATCTCTTAGTAGTAAAATCTACCCATAGCTTTTATACAAAAGTTGGCGAAATGTTTTCACTAATGTCATCACGTCTATGAAGTGGATTGGGTGTGCATTGATTAGACTTAAAATCTCCTATTGTTTACCGAGTAATAGGCTTGCATCAATAGCTTTCTTCACTAATTGATGGTCTCTGGAAGATATTTTAACCTGATGCTCTTACCAAATGATAAATTGACTGAGGCGAGATTACAGAATTCAGATATGAATTACAAACACACGTCATCTTTACTCTGGTTTATGCAAGCGGTTAGACGGAAGATAACTGTATTAAATAAGCAAGCGAAACAGGTCATTTCATTTGACATCAGATTTAGTTATTCTGATCAGTTTGTTACTTTATCAATAATTTCCTAGGGAGGTCTTCTGTATTTTTAAAACGTTTTGAAGCGCATATATTTTAAAATAAGAATTCACTTAAGGCTGCAATTTGCTGTTAAAAGCTTTGTTGGCTTACGAAGAAATAATTGTTGAGCTTGATGAATCAATCGATTGGTAAAACCACTTGACTTAGAGTCTATTTTCGCTGAAAATTAATGGTAAGATATATATGTCACTCATTCCATATTCTATTAACGTATGTAACTAATTACAAGTAAAACTTTTTAACCACTAATTTTTAGTGTGGTCAGTAAACTAAGTGCTACAGAACTTCGACGTATTTTATCGGATTATTATTATTCAAACCATAGATGTTGTGAATTTTCTGGAATAAATTAAGTTGCGAGTTACAGTGAATGGCTATAAAATTACTTCATATAATAGATAAAGAGAAACGCTAGCACCACTGTGCGTCGGTGGCACAGTGGTTAGGATTCTCGCCGACCATGCACATGGTCCGGGGTTCGAGCCCACACCGACGCACACCTGATATCTATGGTTGGCCTGAGAATTTTGGGCTACCGATATCCACGCTGAAAATTCCACCCATGTACTAAAAAAAAATACTGTGTGGAATCAAACTGCAATCAAAAAATAAATAAATAAAAAATATATGTGTATGTATATATGTAACTTTGTCGTATAAACGAAATAGAACTACTGAATGACTGGCATCGAAACTTACAATAATAAACGGCTAAAACATCTTTTACCTTGACACTGTTTCAAGTTCATCGCTAGTTGCATATTTCTAAGGCAAGTGAAGGATAATCCATCAAGTCTGACCACTTTACTGAGTATTTATAAACTTAGTCGCTCTTGCAGAGAATGACTTATTAGGCCTATCGTCATCTTCTGAAACTCTGTCTAACGTGGCTGATTAAAGGAATCATTAGGTCAGTAAGGAGTTCTATATTGGCACACCTAGATGATATGGAGCGTAAGATTGATGAAAATTCAGCTTTTCGCATTCTACATAAAGTGCTTCCTCAATTCGGTACGTTTGCGTATCTCCGAATGCAAAGCCTAGATAGGGTAGTTGTCGTAAACATTTTCAACCGAAACTATGCTCAAAAAACGTCTGTTTGGTCACTCTTCTTTCTGTGGCCTCAACTCTCTACCTAAATTGGTTGGCTATTCCGTGACATCAGATAACTGCGCTTATCATCTTCATTAATACTGATACATTTATTTATATAGTCATTCTCATACTAATTTTGGTTGCATATTTTATCCTTTGTCTCACAAATAACTACGAAATCAAACGTTTTATTATTTAATCAGTATGAGACAGTAGTTACTAGTCCCCTCTATCCCTAGAAATATGCACATTCTACTTACACATTAATGATGATTGACATCCTGGATTATATGAACACTTGCATGAATTTATCTTTCTTATTATTGTTATGATCAGCTTGGTTATCATACAGTGCTTTATATCCCTGAACTTTAATTCCATTATGAAATTGTAAAGCCCGATGAGAAATCACCGAAAATACGTATTCGCCTAAACTATGTTCACTAATTTACTCATTACTTATTCTTCCTGCATTAATCCTTTATTACAGCATGCCTGTCGTTGAACGCAACTACACCGCATCGTCGCATTTTTCATTCTTCAGTACCTTAGTGCACCTTACCTTCTGCAGTTAACTCAATTCTGTTGCATCCTAAAAGTCCCTGAAAACACTTCACACAAAATCGAATGGGATAAGTTTTAGGAGGCTGACGAGTCATTGATATAAGAATAAAAGTTGTGCACTGTGGTAGAGTATAATTCCACAGTGTTATACAGTAATATTTATTGATGACGTTTCGAGCACAATTTACTGCTCATAATCATATCAAGTTACTTACACAACTTTCTAACTTTGTTTAACATAACTCCATCATTATTTTTCATCGCTTGATTTGATTGGTAGTAGTATTTTCCATATTTCCGGTATGAGTGATGAGTCATTGCTATTGCATGAGTTGGGTGTAGATTCGATGAACAAGGATTCAGAAACCAACCTCTCTCTCCACCTACCTAGATTACCTTTTAGAATTTTAACTCTCTCCCACCCTGTTTTATGCTTGTGTGTTAAAGCATGCAGTGCGATTCAGAAAAAAGCTCAGCGAGAGAGTTATAATTCTAGGAAGTAATATAAGTAGGTGGGGAGAGAGGTTGGTTTCTGAATCCTTGTTCATCGAATCTACACCCAACTCATGCAATAGCAATGACTCATCACTCATACCGGAAATATGGAAAATACTACTACCAATCAAATCAAGCGATGAAAAATAATGATGGAGTTATGTTAAACAAAGTTAGAAAGTTGTGTAAGTAACTTGATATGATTATGAGCAGTAAATTGTGCTCGAAACGTCATCAGTAAATATTACTGTATAACGCTGTGAGACTTTATCGAAATAAATTTTACCCATAATAGTTGACGAGTCATTGGATTAGTTGAAAACAATCCTTTTTATTCTAATGTAATCATCATTTCTTTTCCATCTGAGCATATAAAAGAAATTAGCTGTGTGTAATGTGTTTCCTTCTGAGTAAAGTCTTCAATTACTATAAGTGTTCGATAGTCAGACTATAAGTTTGGATTTCCAAAAGTGACTTAACCTTAATTTTGAAGACATTGTTGTGGTTCTGAAGTGAGTTTACTTGTTCATTTGTTACTTATCCGTGCTGAAAATTCCATACTTCTACCAAAAACACAGTGTGGAATCAAGCTGTAAATAACAAACGAACAAATAATAATGTAATTCTGCCATCTCACTGCCCAAACATTTTGGGAGAATAGTAAAAATGAGCTAGCAGGATAAAATCAAGTTCTGCTTTTGTGTTAGACGAACTTCAATATAAATTGTCACGGGACAACTGAAATACTAAATAAAACCGTAGTCTGTTGATAAATTCAATTGTGTTGGATTTCTCATGAGCCGTATTTAATTAAATACTGAGAAAGAATAACCGCTGTGCATCGGTGAAACAGTGGTTAGGATTCTCGCCGATCATGCACATGGTCCGGAGTTCGATCCCCTGCCCACGCACACCTGATGTCTATGGTCGGCCTGCAAAATTTAGGCTACCAATATCACATGCTGAAAATTCCCTACTAGTACCAAAAATACGGAGTGGAATCAAGCTGTAATCAAAAAAATTATCTTCTAGAGACGTACAGCACGTAAGCTTCCAGAATATTATGAGCACTATTAATTTACAAACTAATACATTCTTTTTACTTGAAAAAGCCAATCCAAATGTTTCGAAATTAAAAGAAGAGTTATAAGATTTACATTTGAATGCAGACTATCGGAAATCTACTGACATCGGTCAAGAAATTTACATTGGATTTTAAGTGTTTTTCTTTGAAACATTTTCAATTTAGTGCGGACATTTTGAATTTAACATACGTATGCCTAATTTCTTGTTGTTTTTGTTTGCAGCCAAATCCTTAGAGAAAGAAAGATAACAACATGGAATCTAACACCGAAACCTATCGTTTATTCAACTAATATAGATGCAGAAATGCAGAAACGAATTGTAGCAATATTAGAAGCTAACTGGAACGAAAACAGTGTTGATTCGAGCCTATTCGATATAACTGTTCATTGTGATCGTGAGTTTGGTCCATGTTGGAGAGCTCGAATTGTGGATGGCACAGATCCTGTTGACGAGGCAATCAATACAAAACACATGGTATTCAGTTGCGATGAAGGAACAACAAAAGGTTGCATATGGTTGGAGAAAGAAACTAAAAATCGTCCAGGAGGATGCTGCTGTTGTTAATCTGCCTCATTGTGAAGAATAACAAAATATGTCAAGTTAATAAAGTTTAGTGTGTTTTAAATCCTCACATTAAAGCAATTTTTGTATTCTTGATGCAAGTTTTAGTGTATGTAATAAAAGTTTAACTCGAAACCGTTGTTATCAACACAAGTTTTAACATTTAAGTCTGATAATATAATGTAAGGTACAAACAGTTGCTCACTATACTATAATAACCAGCCGTGTCAAGCAACAGATTGTAAAATGAATATCTGAACCAGCAAAGACTGTGTCTAGATGCAGCATTTATGGAATACACTGTAATTACATGATTATGCCTTTTTAAGCGAATAAAGTCTAAATTCGTTTCGAAAATAGACTAAAGAAAAAAGTAACTTGTTGAAGGTTATTCATAATATCTAATAATTACCTTTAAATTGTATGTGGTGATTTTGGGTGGTAGCGTTGCTAGCTTAGTCATAGCAGAATTTTTAATAAATAGTCTTTTGCTGCCAACCAGGTTTCCATTTCAGAATAAGTAACCTGCAAATTGTAGAAATGTCATTCCAGCAATTTAAGTATATCTCTCGTATGGTCTCAGGAAAATTATACTTGGTTTGTTTGTTTCGGTTGTTCCTTTTTAATCTGTGGGAGGCTAAAATGACTGTTAAGCGCAAGAAACTGTGGAATATTTCTCTGAAAATTTGATTAACTTATAACATTCTGGAGAGGATCACACCGTTGTCAAATGTAGAATTTAAGTTATAAAACAGCTCAGTGACAGTTATTTGTATTTAAAAGTTTGACATCAAGTGAAACTCAGATTTCACAAACATTTTCACATTTGTTTTTCACATAGTTCCTACTTGACAGAAATTATTAACTGCGAATATAAATGCAGTCTCGAAAGTATTTAAGTCTGACTAATCTGCTGTAAGTACTTTTGACAATGTAGCTTTTATTAAGACCAATGCTAAGTTTTCTATAGGATTATTTCTTATATCCTTAAAAAGCAAGCCTGATGAATGAAACCAGAAAATTAACTGAACGGTCAAAACTCTCCGGTTATGAATTTTAAGTATCTCCGTACTA